GCATCTCGGACAAGTGTATCCACCACCAACCTTAGCCTCTTTATGACATGAACAAATTGAAATGACACCCTCTGCTGCTCTTTGGGGGAATCCCATCTTGATCAAATTTGCAACAGCAAACTCTGCAATCGCTGGAGGAGGTGGAGCATGCTCTAATACCAACTCTTTTAAATGGGGCTGACAGGGCAATAACCATCAATCAAATAAAAAAAAAGTTTAACAATATTGTTCAAGAAGTCGAGAAGCATGCGTATTGTTCTAATCAGTATTCAATGAGACAGTTTTACATAGCATGCAGTTAGAAACAAATGTCTCCTAAATTTCATACAAATAATCTCTTCGTTATCTCACAGGTTTTCAAGTTACCATACTTCAGACCTCAATAATTCATTCTCACCTCATCCAACGCAACATAATACATTCCACCAGTCTCTTGGCAGAGATGCTTGCATATATAGAGTTCGGCAGAGAGACCAATTACTGAGCACCTTATCTTAGACGCTTTACATTTCTGGATGGTTTCGAGTATATCCCCCGGATCACATGTGCTAAGAGCAGAATACAAGATAAGGACTTCACGATGACCATATGATGGGATCTGGTTTAGGAGGTCACACACAAGATCTAGGCCATTCTGAAGGGATGCATCACCTGAGGTCCCCAATTTACCCATCAATGCTTTGATATGAGCCTCCGGACTGCCACCAAGATCTGTTAAACACTGAGCTACTCCATCTTTCAAGATCACCAAGCCAATCTGACTGAGGGGATTCTGATCAAAAAATTCTCTTACAAAAGCCTCCACTTGCTTAGCAACTACAACCATTCGGCTTGGCTTATAATCCATTTCTGCAGCTGCCTAAAATCCAAAATGCAATCAATAATAACTCAAAAGTTTTATAAGGTTCAAGAAATCATGGCCATTACTGTAGCTTCCAAAATTGTCCAGGCTTAATTCAAATGAGTACTTTAAAGTCTCTCTTTTAATAAGTCCAGCTTTCTAGTACTCAAAGCATTTCAATTCTTGTTCGAGCTTTCCAAGTTTGCTTGGGTGTTGCGGAACTATTATCATGTAGGATAAGTATCAAATAGATGCAATCAATTCTCAGAAACACTTTTAAGCAATGTGGACAAAGAAACCGAGGAAAAATGTCAAAAAGTTGGATGCTGACATCTTGAAAGGTGGAGAATTGTCAGCATGATCTTTACGTGTAAATGTTTATGATTGTTTATCGCACTTTTTCAATTTTAAAAGAAAGCATGCAGTGCAGTGATAAACGCAATTCTATTAAAGGGACATTTTTAAAGGGCAACAATTGTCATAGACAGACTCAATCACAATTCTCTCAGAATTTCAAAAATTGGTCCAAAGGAATGCAATGTGCTGTTCAGGGATACATGGTGACATCAAAACTGAAAGTGGGTACTCACTAGAATATTAATTAAGTTTACTGATCAAAGACGAGCACCGAATTGCATGCCATACAGCAGCGTAATTTTCTGACAAAATTGTTCAAAATATTGGTTTCTTAAAACCATTACTAGAAACAGAAAAATACTTAGCATTCTTAATATCTCATAGCATAATATAAACAAGTTGTAATCACTAAAACTTCAGCCCTAGATGCAAATAAAAATCCATAAACAGAAGAACTGCTGGTTCTTTAGAAGGACCTGTATTCCTTTTAAATAAACATTTGCTAGCATCAAAAAGGGGATCACCAGATTGTCCAGTAAACTGGACCCAATAAACCTTATCTTGAGATAACTCCTTTACAAACAGATAAAGTATAGATGCTTACATAATTTTTGCATAACTCTAAATTAAAAACTAAACCATCAAATGTCAGTAACCAATTATAGCAATGCACTTTTTGTACAATCATAAAGGATTCCACATACCCTGGAGAAATCAATGATAATGTAAAGGTAGCGAATCAGGCCCTTCTGAACTCGTGCAGCGGTTGCAGTGCGGAGACGTCGTCGATACTGAGCATGGGATAGAGTTTTGTTGTCAATTGGACGAAGGAGACCAGATTCATCCTCCTGCAAAGACTCCCATGATCTTTCATCTGCATAAGTTCTTTCCCATGCTTCTCGACCTCTCCCACTTTCCTCATCCTCATCTTCTTCTTCTCGGTTAAATCGTTTTTCTTCATTGTTCATTTCCCTGTTTGATAAAATGCACTCTCAATATAATCACCAAATACTTGAGAAATCAACTGTAAAAGCCAATATTGATACAAGAAATTATATGTGGGAGTCCTGAGCTCTTCGCATTATGCACCCCTATTGTATACACTATTTCTCGATTTGCTCCCAATCCTTGACTTTTTTTGCTGTGTTTTCCCCCTAAAGAAACAACCTCTTGCAGAAATGCAAGATAAGGCTGCGTACGATAGACCCTTGTGGTACGGCCCTTCCTCGGACCCCGCGCATATTGGGAGCTTAGTGCACCGGGTTGCCCTGCCCCCCTAAAGTGTGCACCATTTTTTTCATGAACACAATCGTTTGTTGTTTTATGATTTGTCCCTTAATGTGTGCACCATTTCTTGGGTTTGCACCCTATCTTTATTAGAATTATAAAACATTCCATTTGTGAATGGGCAAAAGAGGGATGATACCATTAAACGGCATTCTACAACTATGGAACGCTGTAACACTACATTCCGCATCTAGTCATCTCTATTCGCTCATTGCAACATTTTCAGTTCCACTTTTATAACACATGCTCTTAAAGGACTTCTCAATGGAGGAATATGCTAAAACTTTCGTTTTTAAGAAGATGGCTTTAATAATGAAGACTTAAATACGTACAATCAAAAGGATCTTGTTGGATTTTACTAAGGTGTGGAAAGCCGGATTCCATTTTTTTTTATTGTGAATATGATCACGATTGAAAGAATTTATGAAGCTAGACAGGTGAAGGAGGAAAAGATTGACCAATGTGGGAAAGGAGTTTCTGAGGCATGTGTTTTTGTATGGCAGTAGTTGGAGATGTTACAAAGATGAAACATTCATTGACGGTGTTGAGTAGCTGATACAGTGTTAAGTGTTCTTAAATTGTATTATTTCTATTTTGCTCCTTCATAAATGAAATGTTTTACGACTTTACAAAGTAATTCAGCATACATTGGGGCAAATCATAAAACAACGAAAGATAACTGCAAATCAATAGTGCATACATTAGAGGGAAATTCTTTTGATCTGTAAAAAAAAGGATTAGAATAAATTAAAAAATGATGCATACAACAAGGGAGCAAAATGTAAAAAACTCATAGAAGTATATAGAGTAGTGAATGATGAATGACAAAACCCATTAGGTTTAGCTAGCCCCTTCATATTTAAAGTTGAAAGAATACAGTTGCTAAGCAAGTTTGAAACATTAATCTTTTTGATAACCCCAAGTTTGAAACTTCATCATGAAATTTAATCAACAGATACATGATCACCAAAATGTATCAAATCAAAACCAGAAAATCATCAGAAAAGTAGACATGAACAACCCAAAATTACAAAAATACTTTTTTTAATCCCAACAAGGTAATAACCCAACACAATAGGAGAAACCCTCGATTGAATTGCAGTAGTTTCTAAAGATTTTGCAAATGCAACAGATATAAAGCTTACTTTACTCGTAGTGCGCCGACCAGCTACCTTAGCCGGTGAATTTGGCCGACACGGAGCCGGCGGTTGAGTGGCAGAAGAAACTGAGAACCAGTTAACCTACAATTTCAAAGTAGGATTTGCTCTTTTCAATGCTACACAGCAGCTCTGTAGTGTATTTTAATTCGCCGGAGAGGAGAAAGAAACAAGAGCTTGGCTTTATAAGAACTGATGAAAGTGGTATTAGAAAAATTAAGGACTAAGATTTAAGCTTATTTAGTGTAGAATTAGTCTTAGGGTTAGTGACTGTGTCCATCTAAAATAACAATTTGTACATCGTGCCCCTTTTAATGTTAGTATATCATTAAAAATTTGATATAAAGAACTCTGAATGTGTCACTAAAAATAGTATAAAGTATATAAAAACTTCATATTTGAGAAGTTAGAAACAAAAAAAAAACATCATATGCAATTAACGACCGATATAATTTATAGAGTCAAATAAATTATTTGATCTTCTATTTTTTTGGTCTGGTTAAGCACAAGAATTGGATTAGAGGTTTCTGTAGTAGCATAATTTGGTTGCTCGTGAGGCCGTGACATAGCCTTGTGCAATGCTATGCAGTTACCTAAATAAAGTTATATTTTGGAGAAAATGGTGTTTATTTTACAATCTGAAATTTGTTAAGTTGAAAAAAATGCTTAGGAGCTATTTTCCACTCCAAAAAAAAAAAGAATTCTTTTTCCACTCATAGAACACGTAAAAATCTTCAAAAACAGAAATACTGTAACTATCCTAACTGTTCTGTCTATGAACTTGAAAAAAAACTTTAAAAAAAATTATATTTGTGTTATAAAATAAATATTGTAAAGTAAAGACAAGTATAGAGAGAAACTGATATATTATTCTGACTTCAAACATATGTATATAATGAAGTGAATTCTCCTCTATTTATAGAAGAAAGGAAATTGTTGTGTAAGCTGCTACTGCAAGCTGCTTGTAAGCTGCTGTGTAAGCTGCTTGTAAGTTGCTGCTCTAAACTGTTGTGCCAGATATAGATAATCTTCTATCATGGGTAATATTTATCCATAACAGAGTACCGAAAGGATAAGCTTCTTCAGGAGGCTTATTTCTAATAGAGTACTAAATAGATAAATGTATTTATGGCGGAATCTCATATGGATAAACTTCTTCAGGAAGCTTATTTACAATGGAGTACTAAATGAACATCCATAATATAATATATTCATAACACTCCCCCTTGGACGTTCATTAAAAGATAATGTGCCTCGTTAAAACCTTATTAGGAAAAATCCCGTGGGAAAAAATCCTAGTGAAGGAAAAAGAGTACACATATTTAGTAATACGCATTGCTAGCTGCCTCATTAAAAACCTTATAAGGAAAAACCTGTGGAAAAAAATCTTAATAAGGAAAAAAGAGTACATCGCGTATTTTACTCCCCCTGATGAAAACCTTGTTTCAAATATTTAAGTCTCCGCATTCCAATCTTGTATACCATCTTCTCAAAAGTTGAAGTTGGTAAAGATTTGGTGAATAAATCTGCCGGATTGTCACTTGAACGGATTTGTTGCACATCAATGTCACCATTTTTCTGAAGATCGTGTGTGTAGAATAATTTTGGTGAAATGTGCTTCGTTCTATCTCCTTTTATAAATCCTCCCTTCAATTGGGCTATGCATGCAGCATTGTCTTCGTATAAAATTGTGGGTCTTTTCTCACATTCCAAATCACATTTTTCTCGAATAAAATGAATTATTGATCTCAATCATACGCATTCCCTACTTGCTTCATAAATGGCTATTATTTCAACATGATTTGAAGAAGTAGCAACAATAGATTGTTTTGTAGAGCGCCATGATATGATAGTACATCCACATGTAAACACGTACCCGGTCTGAGATCTAGCTTTATGGGGATCAGATAAATAACCTGCATCTGCATAGCCAACAAAATCTGCACTATCTTTGTTAGCATAAAACAAACCCATATCAAGAGTTCCCTTTAAATATCGCAATATATGCTTAATCCCGTTCCAAT